GACGACGTGAGGCATGGTCTGCACAGGCCCAGCTGCCTGTCAGAAGCTACAGGAATCCTCTCTGGATAAAGACAATCTCAAGCTCCTCAGATTATCCGCCGCCAAGTACTGAAGCAGCTGACGTGAGGCATGGTCTGCACAGGCCCAGCTGCCTGTCAGAAGCTACAGGAATCCTCTCTGGATAAAGACAATCTCAAGCTCAACCTCAGATTATGATTTTTGCACAAGTTTTCACACACAATGTCCAGCACTCGCTGAAAAATAACCAGACACAAAACACATGATTTAGTAAGAAACGCAAATGAGCCCGGCAAGTGTAGCTCAGTGGTTGAGCATTGTCCTGTGCACCAAGAGGTCGCGGTTCTATTCCCAGTCAGGGCCCGTGCCCCAGGGTTGTGGGCTGGATCCCCAGTAGGGGGCATGTAGGAAGCAGCCGATCGATGATTCTCTCTCATTGATGCTTCTATCTCTCTCTCCCTCTTCCTTCCTCTCTCTCTCAAACCAATAAAAACATAGACAATAGAAAGAGGTGATGAAAGGAAACCAGTCTTTGTGGTGTTGGCCATTTTCTCCTTCTTGACCTGGGTTGCCTTCGCGGGGGTGTGGCGCACTGAGATGTTCACAGAGCTGCACACCGATGCGCTGTGCCCTCCTCTGTGTGTGTGCTATACCTCCCATGGAAAGTATATTTAAGAACGTCCTCTCACCTCCAGAGCATCCAGTCGCGCTGTCGGTGCTGGCCACTCCGCCTCAGTCACGGGCCAGGGCTCGGGATGCCACGGTCTTGGGAGGGCGCTGTCCACTTCAGCGTTCAGGAGGGAGTTCTGAGCTGGAAGAGAACGGTCTCGGTCAAGCCTCAGCCAGAAGTCCACAAAGTCAGCAGGTCCCTGAGCCCCACGCCCGTGACCCAGACCTCTCAGGCCTGGGACGCTCCAAGCGCCTCCTCCACACGCCTCTGACGGTTCTGTCATGGTCGTGGGCAGCCTAAACACTGCCTTCCCCTGCCTGGCCCTCCCTGCCTGGCCGCGGACCCTTCTGCACTGGGACCGGCTCATCTTTATAAACAACACCTGCCTGGGAGCGCACAGCAGCCTCCCAGCAACGGGGAAAGAGTAAGTGACTCAGTCAATCTAGTACCCTTCTTCCTTCCTTCTTCCTTCCTTCTTTCTTTCCCCTTCCTTCCTTCCTTCCTTCCTTCCTTCCTTCCTTCCTCTATTTATTTATTTATTTATTTAAAATATGTATTTTATTGATTTTAGAGAGCGAGAAGGGAGGATAGAGAATAGAAACATCAATGAGAAAGAACCATCGATTGGCTGCCTCCTGCACACCCTCTATAGCCCCTACTGGGGATCAAGCCCACAACCCGGGTATGTGCCCTGACCAGGAATCGAACCGGTGACCTCTTGGATCCTAAGTCAACACTCAACCACTGAGCCAAACCGGCTGGCCCACTTCCTTCTTTTAAGGTTGAGGAAGCTGAGCCCAGACCAGGAAGGAGACTTACACAAATGAGCGGCAAAAGCAGGACCACCAAAACCCATGCCCCTCCAACTGTGAAAACAGACCCGCTAAAACCTGAGGACAAATCCCTCCTCTTGGGTCGGGCACTAGACACTCCTGAGAAAGGTCACATTACCCGCCTTTTGAAGATCAGCGTCTGGGGCTCGGAGAGGTCAATTAACTCATCCAAGATCACCCAGCTGGTAAGAACAGAACCTAGTAATAAGAACGCTCCCTGAGCAGGTCTCAAGCGGAGCTCAGTTACCTGAAGGTAACACTACCCACACTTCCTCCGCGTGTTTAATGAGCACCTCCTAGGAACATAACCCCAAGGAAACCCTCAGCGCCCCACACCTCAGCTGGGAGTACACCGCACGTGCACAAGGACCTGCTGTCTGGCCAGGTAGCAGCTTACTTTCCTTGTTAATAGTAAAAACAGCAGAACAAAAAAGCACCCATGTGACCACCTTTGTAAGCAACCATCGTTAGCGTTTCAGTTGCTCTCCTAACCTGTCCATCACACACACACACACACACACACACACACACACGCCTGTTGCCTCTCGCTTTGAAAGGCTTTTCATTTTCAGGTGAACAAGGGAAACTGTGGGCTGAGGAATGGGACCATGTTGCCGTGGCAGCATTTTTCTAATCTGTTCTCCTAAGTTGTGAAGTGGGAAGGCAGAGTGCGTAGGGAAGGGAGGGGGGAGCGGTGTTTTCCTGCCCGCTACCCCCGGCAGGTCAGAGCCCAGGGCTGGTCCTACCTGAGCCGCACTGACCTGTCACAGCCCCCGGCTTCTCTGGCTCCAGGGCGGGGTGGCGGCTGGTCTGGAAGAAGAGACATCCCCACAGTTATCCTGCATGACCCGGAGGGAGCTACAGGGTGACTACGACCAGACAGAGCAGGGCCGGCATGCAGAGTCCCCCCCAGCTTCTGGCCCACGGACCAGCGCTGGGGAGGCCGGGCCAGGCCTGCACAGGTGCACCTGCCCTGCCACTCACTGGCCAGGTCAGGTGCCCCCGCCCTCTCCACCTGCAGGTGGAGGTGCTAACACTTCCTCGCAGGGTTTTGCCAGAACCAAATGAGAATGGAGGTCTGCTAACTGCCCCACAAGAGAGGCAGTTCAGGCAGATCAGGGCTCGCCTTAAGGCCCCACCCCCCACATACATTTTTGGGGAATATTCTAAACTTCCTGAAAGGCAGGCGCTAAAGAGAAAAGATTTGCTTGGATCCCTCGAGGCCCAGCCTGGGCTGCTGGTTTGAGGGGTGTGTAGGGCTCTGGGTCTCGCTGCGGAATTTTAAGATGAACCTCCACTTCTGCAGGCCCGTGTCTGGGTCTTGCTGACTGAGCCCCAGAGGAGAGCGGGACGTTCCCAGGAGGAGGAGGGAAGAGGCAGAGCGGGCAGGAGGAGGCCGCACGGCAGCTTCCCGGCCGCTCACCGCCTCCCGGGGGCTGTGGCCAGAGGACACGCTGCTGGTCCAGCCCTGACTCCCCCAAGGAAGACAAGCTCCGGTTGTGCTCAGTAAACGTTTGTGGGATGAAGTGGCAGAGCTGGGTTTTGTGGTTTGTGGGGGGAACAGTGAGGCGCCCCAGGCCATGAAAGTGGGGGTATTCTTGGAGAGCTGAATTGTAAAATAAAGCAAGACGGGTCTGCAGATTCGGTCACCTTAGGAGAAAGTGGACGCTTATAACTGGCCATGGCCTTTCAAAAGGCCCGGGGGAGACCCCCGGCTCCCGGGGAGACGTGTCCAGGAACAGGGGCACCTCCTCCCAGGAAATAATACATCAGCTGAGGACACCTGACGCTCCCTGTCCCCATCCTAGGCTCCCAAGCAACCTTCGATCGTCAACGCTCATCTCTAACAAATGAATGAATGAATGAATGAATGAGCCTGGCCGATGATTCCACTAGAGGGCAGGCCATGCTGACATTTTCCCATCCACCCACCGGACACTTCGGCCTGTGCATCGTCCTGTTTCTCAGAGGAAATGGAGAAATTCGTTTGCGGGCTTATACATCAGTCTCTGTGAATCTGGTCCCTGTAGGTCAGCCTGTGCAATCCCAGCGGCCGTTTCAGTTCTAGGTTCAGAGCCTGCAGGACTGGAGCAGCCCTGGAGGGCGGGGCTCTCCCTGCCCTGACTCCTCCCTCCCAGGTGACTGACTCCTCCTGGGTCTCAGGTCCTGAAACGTGGCTTCAGTTTGCCTCAGTCAACTGCGCCAGCCATTCCAACAGCACGCTGACCGAGTCCCTCAAAACTCCCTGGCCCTGAGAGGTGGGAAGAGACCAGCACTGGGCTGGGGTCTCAGGCTGTGGATTCAAAGGCTGCTCTGAACCAAGTCGCCTTGTGGCCCCGAGCAGGCCCGCGGCCTCCAGGTCTCCGTCTGCTCCGCTGTGTGAGGCTTGGACCAGGGTCAGCTGAGGCTCTCCGCAGGCCGTGGGGAAGGACGGATGGAGAAGATGGGCTTTGCAGAGGCTGGGCTGGGGAGGCGGAGCGGGAGACACAGGCCTGGTGCTCAGCTGCTGAGAGCAGGAGCCAGGAAACCAGGGCCGCTGCGCCCACAGCAGGAGCTGCAATGCACCCGCACACCATTGCTGGCTGGTCCTCCGAACGGGGTTGCACACCTGTGTGTGTGTGTGTCTGTGTGTGTGTGTGCACATGCAAGCGGGTGTGGGCAGGCTTGGCTGAGCACCCGTGGGTGCTGCGCACACACGGACGCCAGGCACTGCTGTTCAGGGCCAGGCAGACCCAGGAGCGCCGTTACCAGACCTGGGGCAGAACTGGCTTCCATCAACTGCTGCACTACCTGGGGGCTGTGTGACCTTGAGTGAGACTCCCAACCTCTCTGAGCCTGTTTCCTCTTTCACTGACCATTAGGAGAGGAGATCCTCATTCATTTAACTCATGATTTCATTCATTCACCTGAAAACTCCCTGAGCAGCTTCTCTGTGCCAGGTACCAGGGAGACAGAGGTGACTGTGGAGCGGCTCTGGCCCCAACAGAGAGGTGCCAACCAAACTCCCGCCACATCAGGGGGAAAATTCCTCCCATGTTACCCCTCAGGCATCGCCACGTGCCTCGGAGGACAGAGGGAGTGTGGCTAGCTCTGTGGTCTGGGGGATTCAGAGCGAGCTCCCTGGGCAAAATTGCACTCGAACTGTGCCCCGAAGGCTGGATAGGAGGCTGGAGGGCAAACAAGAATCTTGCCAGAGGAAGCAGCACGTGCTAAGGTCCTGAGGCACACGGGAGAGAGCCTTCTGGTGAAGCAATGGCACAGTGCTAGTGTGACACTGAACTCAAGCCGCTGTTTGTGCGTCTGTCTCCTGCATCATGTGGTGAGCACTTTATGGGTAAGGAGACGGCCGGACCACGTCCCACGCCAGCCCTGAGCACAGGTGCCGGCACAGAGGAGGCATTCAGGGCACATTCCCCGCGGCGTCAGTGGGAAGAGGGAGAAAGGGGGGACAGTGCCGGCCAGGCAGGTGGACCGGGTCACTTGCCCACAGGCCCCACAGGAAGAGGGACAGGGCTGCCTCTGGGAACTGACCTCTGGGACCCCGGCAGCCAGGAAGGTGGCCGCGTACTCGGCCAGCGCCACGTCGTCCACCATGCTGCGCACCGTCTGGCAGAGCAGGCGATCGGCCGGCCCGTGGCGGCACAGCTCCTGCAGCAGGCGCGTGAGCAGGTGGTTCCTGTCCCGGCACTTCTGGACCAGGGAGGCCAGCTTGGCCTGTGGGACGAAGACGCAGCAGGTGGGTCCTCGGACACAGGGCTCCCAGGGGCTGCGCGTGGACTCCCTACTCTGCATCCCCCAGCCCCGCCCAGCGCAGCCATCCCTCCACCCCTCCCTCCACCCGGAAGCCAGAGTCATGCTGACAGTTACTGAGTTGACAGCAAGCTGCCCCCTTCCCCCAACGCTGCACCCCAGGGGCTCCCACTGCCTTCTGATTGCCCTCCAGATGGGTGAAGGGTGTGGGCTCAGGCTCTGCCACTGACCAGCGATGTGGCCAAGCTTCTCTCTGCACCTCGCCTTGCTCATCTGTACAGTGGGCACCAGGACCAAAGGAGACATTCCAGGCCAGGCACCCACACAGGGCCAGCCACGCAGGTCCCGGAGCCCAGCCATTCCTGCCCCCGGCCACCACTGATTCTTAGACCTGCCTGCACCCCTCCAGCCCCATTGTGGCCCGGCCTCCTTCTCCCTCCTATTCCCGCCACACTGGTCACCCCCACCCCAACCCCAGTACTTCCTGCTCACTCCTTTGTGGCTCCCATACGTCCCAAGCCCAGAAAAGCCTGACCACCTCTCCAGAGGCCAGCCTGGTGTCACCTCCCCGGGTGTCACCTCCCCGGGTGTCGCCTCCCCGGTCACCTCCCCGGGTGTCACCTCCCCGGGTGTCGCCTCTCTGGGTGTCACCTCCCTGGGTGTCACCTCCCCGGGTGTCGCCTCCCCGGGTGTCACCTCCCTGGGTATCGCCTCCCTGGGTGTCGCCTCCCCCTCAGGCCTCCCCGATGCTCAGGGCCGAGCGTCCCTCTGTGCCCTGGCTTCCGGCTTCCGGCTATCCCTGCAGGTAATTTACATTGTGGACCTGCCTTCCACACAGCCTGGGAGCGCCTCCAGGTCAAAGCTGGGCCCCGGCACTGTCTCTGTCATCACTGGGCACCGTGCGGCCCTCGGGACGGATTTGTTACATGAACGACACGAGTGAGCGACCCTCCCACCATGAAAAGTCTGCACGTGTCCGGAGGGGTGACAGGCCTGTCATCCCAAGGGAGGCCCTCCCGGGTGCCCTCCGCTCCGGGGAGGGGGTGTACGGCCCTCCCATGGTTCAGGGTTGTTGGCCTGTCAGTTTCCCGGCAGCGGTGCCCGGGTGCCCGGTATGACACCCGGGAACGGACCCAGGAGCACACGGGAGTCAGTGGGAACTGGGAGTGAGCTTTGTCTGTCCTTCTTCCTCCCAGGACTGTCACAGAACAGAGACGGGCCACGTCTCTAACAGGAAAATACTGGGCTTTTCTGAAAAGTCCTTCTCTACTGACTGCACACATGCCTTACCTTCAAAGGGGTCACAGCCAAGATTGCCTCATGTTGCTTTTTCTGAAGTTCGTCCACCTGGAAAAGACACGTGTTGCCAAGGCTGAGCCGTTGTCCCACAGCCCCTCCCTCCCCGACGGGGGCTCACCCAGGCCGGCTCGTGTCCCCTCCTCTCCCACAGGAATTCTCAGGGAACAGCCTTTCCCGTCACCTATCCCCTCGGCAGGGTCAGGAGGCAGGGGCGCCCTGAGCACGGGCGAGTGAGCCCCGCGCCAGCTCTGCCACCGCTCCCCTCAGAAAGGCGGCCTTCCCAGGTCCCCACCGGGTGCCGGAGCCTCTGGCACCAGTTCAACCTGCGGTTCCCGGCCAGATGCCCGGGGTCCTCCTCCCGGCCCGGCCACTCCCTGGACCTGTGACCTTGTGCGAACTACTCTCTCTGCCTCCATCTTCTCGTCTGTGGGTGTGGGTGACATTAGGGCCCATGCAGGGGTGACTGCAGCCAGGACTCCGTGAACGACTCCTGCGAAGTGCTTAGGACCAGGACTGGCACCCGGTCGGCACCCAAGGGCTGTAAGCCAGGGCTCCCATCTGGGCCAGAGGGGCCAGGCACGGAGAGACGCCACCTGGGCCTCCCAGCCCAGCCCAGCCCAGCCCAGCGCCCGCGTTTCGCCCTGCTCCCCGCGTCCCTGTGGTGGTTGGGGACACCCGCCCGTTGGGCTGTCCCTGTCCCAGGGCACCGGGCGGGCCCTGTGCTCCAGGCTTTGTTTGTTTGTTTTGTTTTGTTGTTGTTAATCCTCACCCAAGGATATTTTTCCATCGATTTTTAGAGAGTGGAAGAGAGAGGGAAAGACAGAGAGAAACATTGATGTGAGAGAAACACATTGATCAGCTGCCCCCTGCACGCCCCACAATGGGAATAGAGCCTGCAACCCGGGCATGTGCCCTTGAACGGAATCGAACCCGGGACCCTTCAGTCCACAGGCCGACGCTCTATCCACTGAGCCAAACTGGCCAGAGCTCATCTTGTTTTTTCATTTGATTTAATATCGTGGTGTTATTTCCATGTCAACACAAATTGATCACGTTCTTTTACAAACTTGCATATTATTTCATCATGAGGCTGAAATATAATTTATTAGCTAATTCTTGTTTATGAAAACGTATATTGTTTCTGCTTCTTTATCTACAGACCAGTGACCACTGTATATGTGTTTTGGCTCCTTTCGGGATATACTCAGAGTGAAAGGCCAGCTCCTAGCGAACTGTCTGACACTGAGAGGCGCTCGATGATGGGCAGGCGTGGGGGAAGCCTTCTGTCTGCTTCCGTTTAGGGGGCGGCCTGACTCTGTGGCCGTGAACTGTGTACAGGGCCCTTCCAGGCACAAAGTCAACGAGAAGGACATGAAAAGACAACAGGAGGAGAGAAAACATTTCCAGGTCAGGTATCTAATAAGGGGCTCGTATCTAGGATGCATAACAAATTCTTACAGCTCAACAACAGCAAAGGCAACTACAAAATGCACAGAGGATCTGCATAGACATTTCTCCAAAGAACTACGTGTCTCCAGGAAGCACATTTTAAAAATTGAGATGATTAGAGCTTTACACGTAGCTGTAAGAAGTCATACAGAGTCCCCCAATATTTCGTATATTTCGCTGGTTTCCCCTGAAGGGAGCATTTTGCAAATAAATAATGTCAGTTCCATTATATTGATACAGTCATCCAGCTTTACTCAGGTTTCTCCAGTTTAACTTATACTTGTGTGTGTGTGTGTCTGTCTCTCTGTGTGTCTGTGTCTGTCTGTCTCTGTGTGTGTGTGTCTGTCTATCTGTGTCTGTGTATATGTGTATGTCTATGTGTCTCTGTGTATGTCTGTGTGTTTGTGTCTGTGTGTGTATGTCTGTGTGTGTCTCTGTATGTGTCTGTGCATGTACGTCTGTGTATCTGTGTCTGTGTATGTGTATGTCTATGTGTCTCTGTGTGTATGTCTGTCTGTGTCTCTGTGTGTGTCTGTGTATATGTGTGTGTCTGTATGTGTATGTGTGTGTGTGTCTGTGTGTGTCTATCTGTGTGTCTGTGTGTATCTGTGTCTGTGTACCGGGCTCTGTACAGTTTTATCACCTGTGTAGGTTCACGTCTCCACCACACAGGCAGGTCCCTGAACAGGTCCAAAGCCACAGAATCTGGGTCCTTTTTAGAATGAACAGGTGACCTGGATGGAGTTTTTCTCTCTATGCTGCCCTGTGCTTTGTAAATCTAATAAATACTGACCAGTTCCTGGAAATGGCCAGTGAGGTCTGACCTGGTTCCTTTTTCCGTTCTCAAAACTTCCCGGAAGGTGGGGCGACTGGTATGCCCTGGTGGCGGAGCCGCCGGACTCGCAGCCTGAGGTCCTCCTCCGGGGTCCCGGCTTCGGCCTCGGCGTCCTGGGGCTGCGGGACACAGACTCAGTGACAGGCTTAGTTACCTTCCCAGCAATTTGCCTTCGCAACTGCATTTCTTGTTGCTGATCCTCACCCGAGAATAATGTTTCCATTGATTTTTAGAGAGAGTGGAAGGGAAGGGAAAAGAGAGAGACACACACACACAAGGATGTGAGACAGACACATCTATGAGTTGCCTCCCGGACATGCCTCACCTGGGACTGGGGATCACACCTGCAACCTAGGTATGTGCCCATGACCGGGACTTAAACCCGAGCCCCCTCAGTGCTCGGGCCCATGCTCTAACCACTGGGCCACAGCAGGCAGGGCAATGTTTTTTCTGCTCATGTTTTCCTCACAGTTAAAAACTTTGAGAAAATAAAGGAGCAGAAATCACTCCTAATCCCATGAGCCAGTGTCACCGTCGTCATTACCCACGTGTCTTCCTCCCCTGTGCTCTGTGCTTTACACACGTGCTCACGTGGGCGTGAGTGTGCGGCCCGTGGCGGGCTTCTCCGGGGTGGATGTCGGGGGCAGGTCTGGGAAACTGAGGTCTGACAATAACATCTTAAAAAGATATTTTCAAAACAATCTCTTTCACCCGTATTTTCAAAAACACGGGAGACAGCACGGCATTTCGGAGTCCGATTTAAAGCTGCCGGTCACCGCTGTCCTGAAGCACAGGTGGTGAGTGGAGTTTCACATTCAAACCCGATTGTGAGAGGCTCATCACAGGGACGCTTCATAGCGCATTTACATCCAACAGAAGATACTGCATTTTAAACAGTTTTCTTTTAAAAATATATTTTTTATTGACTTCAGAGAAAAAGGGAGAGGGGGAGAGAGATAGAAACATCAATGATGAGAGAGAATCATTGATCGGCTGTCGAGCCCGCAACCCCGGTATGTGCCCTGATGGGGAATCGAACCCTGATCTCCTGGTTCATAGGTGAGCCATGCGGCCGGGCAAAGCAGTCCCTCACACTGTGGGCCCAACGCCAGCAGCTTTCCTGGGTGTCGCAGGGGATTTCAGGGGTCGGGACCCTCCTGGCTTTCCCCGAGGTCCTCCTCCTTCCTGCCCCCCGTCCCCCCCGCCCCCCACGCCTCCGCTCTCCACTCCGGGGCTCCTCCCCCCTCCTCCCAAGGGCCGCTCGGATGGTCGGGCCCTGTCCCAGGAAAGCGGAGGTGGGGAATCTGTGGGGCCTCCCAGCAGAGGGGGCCACCGTGGCTCCTTGTCGGGGGGTGGTCCATGGCTCGGGGAGCAGGCAGGGGCCTGGTGTCCAGCCCCTGTTGGATTTGGGGCTCTTCTGGAAACACTGCCTGGAGCAGCAGGGCAGCGGGGCCCCCGGCGGGCCCCCAGGGAGGGAGCACAGACGTCTGCACCAGGAGGAGGGACTCCTGGGCCGGGGCGGCTGCTGGCCTCTGCGCGGAGATCCAGGCCAGCTCCTCGGGGAGGAGGGAGGCGTTGGCGCTCTGCCCCGAGGGGCAGCCACAGAGCAGGAGGAGAGTCTGTCCGTGCAGGGTGGGCTCAGCCGGAGCAGGCTAGGAGGGAAGAGATGAGGGGGGTGGGAAACAGCCCCTCTGCCACGTATCCCCCTCTGTCCCCATCTCCTCATGTCCCGGGGCCTCCACACCAGCCACATAGGCCTCCCTAACGCACCCCAGGGCCTTTGCACCTGCTCTTCCCTCTGCCCAGAATGTCCTTCGCCCAGAGCCCTCCTGGCTCACCTCACGCTCTGTTCACATCTCACCTCACAAGGTGCTTCCTCAAAAGGGCCTCCCCGAGCACGTCCACTCCCTGCCCATTGAAGCCGCTTTCTCCCTGCACGACACCCCACCCCCACCCCGTTACAGTCTGTGTGCGAGGGTGACACTCCTCTATCGCCCCACCCTGTCCAGTGCAGTGGCCACGGGCTTTAGGCGGCTTTTCAAATGGGAAACAAAATGAGAGTCAGCGTTCGGTTCTGCGGTCATAGCGGCCCGTGTCGCTGCTCAGCCCCCGTGTGGTCCGCGGCTGCCGTACTGCACAGCAAGGGTGCAGAAAGGGGCGGCGCCCGGAGGTTCTGGGGCAGCGGGTGTAGACTGCTCCCTGAGGCAGGGACCCTGGCCTGGAAGTGCCAGCACATAAGGCTCCATCGATACCTTGAAATGCATTTTCACAGTCTTTATTCAGTACGTTTTCCAGAGAGGAGGACTGGCCCCTCTCACAGAACTGACCCAGCTGGGCTGGGCCTCGGCCTGCAGGGAGGGAGGGGCCCTCGGGCTCACATGTGACCACGGCCGCCCCGCCCCCGGCCTGGCCAGTCTTCCCACCCGCGCCCCTGCGCCGCCCATCCCTGTCCTCCTGTCTAACTCCATCCTCCGCCTGCATGGAGCCGGGGGCCAGTTTCTCCATGAAGCCCTCCCAACCCACAGAGTGGCTCAGGGTGTGCCAGCACACACACACATGCACATATGCACACACGCACATGTATGTGCACATGCACGCACGCACATGCACGCAGCGGCTCGGGGCAGGGCGTGAAGGAATGAAGAAGCAGGGAAGACCCTCTGCTGAGCCCCAGAACCCGCCAGGCCGAGCGGCCTGAGCCCTGCTCGCGTGCCCCTGCCCCTCATTTGCAGGAAACGCTGGGCCTC